GTTACCCAGACATTTCAAGGATATATTATCATAGATGCAAAAAGACAGATAGGCTCAGTTAAGGTAAAGGTTGATCTTGTCAGTGAAGATACCGGCCTAGGATGTAACTACCCACCATCACTGCTTTTAGTTAAAGTTTAATTTCAGACCATCCTTTGTGGTGACTTTAGGTCTCTGAGTTTGCAAGACTGTCATGCAGGCCTCCCCTGAGCTTGTCAGGTTAGCATGTGGCCCCTTTTGTCCTCACTCCTCTAAGCTATTCTGTCTTTGGATAGGCTCTGATAGTAGGAAAGGGAGGTTGCTAGTCCCCCTACCCCAGTGCCTAGGCCTATGGCCATTCCCAGGCCAGCAAGGAGGTGAAGGAGTGCAATGCCCCTCTCTCTGGTCTGAGCATAAGCAGTGAGAGGAGCCTTGAAGGACTGATTATTAGGGCAATGTCTATTTCGGTGTGAGATAGATTAGGGTGCAGGTCCTAGTCCAGTTGGCTGGGAGACAGAGATAGGTATTGGTGCTACACAGAAAGAAAATTCCCTGATTTTCTAAGCAGAAAGTGTTCTCAATAGTGAAGAGGTAAGTAACCTTGTTGTTCTCATTTTTCCAAACAGAGAAAATTCCAGCTAAGGTTGCCCCTGTAAGGGGCTGAAAAGGGCCTTTGGGAACGAGCTGGGTACCCCCAGTGGTGGTGTTCACCAAAAATATATATTTCCTCTCAGTCTCCACCCAAAATTCAGAATGTGAGACCATGGGAGGGGAGTTGGCTGCAGTTAGACTGTAATTGTGAATTACAACTCTGCCATGGGAAATAGCCAATGTAGGAAAGGGGTGGACCTAAACAGAACTGGGAGGTATGGGTCGTTGGGAAGGTCTCTGAGATGATGGGCCAGGCTGAGAAACGAACGAGTTTCAGAAAAAGGACTGTTTGGGTGAGGAAATAGCCCAGTCAGAGGAAGACTGGAGGTTGAGAGTAAAGTTGCATAAGCATTGATCAAGATATCCTAAGCCTTTCCTGCAGGGAGTGTTCTGTTGATGCAAAGAGGTGCCTGATATGCTAGGTCCGGCTCTTCCTCAAAATACCGACTTCTGCGCATGGGCCACGAAGTTTCAATCGCACTGTACGTGCGCGCCCGCACGTGGTATTTTGTGGAAGAGCCGCACTGAAGGGGCCAAAGAGCCTCATGTGGCCCGCGAGCCGCGGTTTGCCGACCACGGCGCTAGGACAGTGTTGGTTGTTCCTGATCCTAAGATGGGGATTTTGTTGGTTAAGTGTTCAGTTATGTTGTTTAGATGTGACTGGAGTAACTGAACGGCTCTGCCTGTGAGTGTTCCTCTTGTCATTTCTGTGGTCTGGAGAATATTAAGTTCATCCACGCACATGAGTTGGAACGGGGGGCCCTCCATGTATCTTATAGTGGAAGGATAGACTGGGGTTGGCCCATGGGTGTAAGGAGGTTGGGGCTGCCGTGTAGCTAGTTGATGAGAGAGGAAGACAGAGCCAGCAGTCCTGCGAGAGAGTGGGGTTGGTGGTGGTGAGGAGATGTGTTAGGTCGAGGGTTTGAGAGAGATAGTGAGGACTTAGGAGATTTTTTTTTTTAGCCTCACCTGAGGATATTTTTCCATTCATCTTTTAGAGAGAGTGGAAGAGAGAGGGAAAGGCAGAGAAAAACATTGATGTGAGAGAAACATATTGGTTGGTTGCCTCCTGCACGAGCCCTGACCAGGGCCTGGGCCGGGGAGGAGCCTGCAACCGAGGTATGTGCCCTTGACCAGAATTGAACCCGGGACCCTTTGGTCCACTGGCCAACACTCTATCCACTGAGCCAAACTGGCCAGGGCAGGAGATGTTTAAAAGGTATGGGGTAGACCTTCTACACAATAAGAGGGAGAGAAGGCTTGTGGGGAGGTCATTGTAGACTCTTGCCGGGGCTGACCAGCAGACCCTGAGCGACGGATGAACAGATTACTCCAATACAGGTTTCTGTGAAAGGGAGGCTAAGGGACTGTTTTACTTTAGAAGTAAAAGCACTCCTGTTCCCCTGCCTCGTTGGCTTTTTATTATAACAACAGCTTGAACTCAAATTAACCTCTAGATACAATCAGCAGGGCAAGTATCCTTGAGAAAGTATATGCTTCTACAACAGTGATGGCGAACCTTTTGAGTTCGGCGTGTCAGCATTTTGAAAAACCCTAACTTAACTCTGGTGCCGTGTCACATATAGAAATTTTTTGTTATTTGCAACCACAGTAAAACAAAGACTTATATTTTTGATATTTATTTTATATATTTAAATGCCATTTAACAAAGAAAAATCAACCAAAAAAAATGAGTTCGCATGTCACCTCTGACACGTGTGTCATAGGTTTGCCATCACTGTTCTACAAGGTCATGTCTTTAAAGACTAAACATAGAGATTCTAGCAAAACACCCAGGGGGATCGAACTTGTTTGGAAAAGTCAAGGTAGGGGCTGCCGCCTTCGGCAAGGGCCCCTCAGAGGCCCCCGACCTTTCAGAGAATCCTCCTCACAGACCTTCCAACCCAGTCCCGAGCTTCCCCACAGACTCTAACATCTGGTAATTCCAACCAGATGGTATAAGACAATGGCATATTAAAAAATTAATAGTGACAAGGGAGATTCCGAGGAGTACTGGCCAGAATAAAGGGTGAGTAAGGGCCTCCCAGGCTAAATTCTTGTTAAATTAATCCCCAGAGTTGGCTTCTAGCCAGGAGTTTATTTGATCCCAGGAAAAGTCTATGAAATCTCCCTGAAGATAACAATCCCACAAGAAAGTCAGTCACTGTGTCTCAGTACTGGGACGAAGAGAAGGCACTTCTTTGAGTAAGGGTAGGATAAGATCATAGAATTGTTCTGCTGTAGGTCGTTAGGTAGGGAGGGGGCTGGCTGGGGTGGGGGCCAAAAGACAGGGACCAGCATAAATAGGACAGTGAGGGGTGATGGGGGAAGCCTGGCTCATAGGGGATTAGTGTAAGGGTCTGAGGCTCACAGTTCCTTAGGGATTTTTGTAAGTTTGAGGCAAGTTGGTCTGAGGCCGATGCTCGGATACAAGCCGATTGGCGGTGGAGTCTGGGTGCAGGGGCTGGCTTCAACTTGGAGGAGTGGACCCCGGATGGATATCCCCGTAGCCTGGCCACCGTCGGTGTGGTCAGGAGTCCCTGGTGTGGGCCTGTCCACTTCGGCTTCAACTTTCCTGTGCTGCAGGCTGCCTGGAGGAATACCCAGTCTCCCGGCTCTAGTGGAGGATCAAGGGGAGACTCAGCGGTAGGCCTGGGGAGAACTGGTCGGCATGCAGCCAAAGGGGGTGGCCAGTGAGGTTGAGGGTGGGGAGATAATCTCCCAAAGGGCTAGAGGCATTTGGGATGTTTCTGAGTAGGAAGGGTCTGCCCCACATAAGCTCCAAGGGGCTGAGGATGTGGGGTCGTGAGGGGTTGATGGAATGCAAATGAGGGCTAAGGGAAGTGGGGTGATCCAGGTTTCTCAGACCGCCAGACTTATCTAGTGAGGTGTTGTTTCAGGATTGAGGATGACAAGGGATAGGCAAGCTCCAGCGGATCTGGGGGGCAGTGGCAACCCCTGGGTGACTTTAGAGATGAAGGCTGGACCATTATCCAACTGCAGGGAGGTGGGGAGGCCAGAGCTGGGGACAAGATGTTCAGCGAGGCCCGTAACTACCTCCGTAGCCTTTTCTGAGGTGGCGGGAAAGGCCTCTACCCACCCAGAGAAAGTGTCTACAAAGGTTAGTAGATATTTGAAATGCCTTACAGGGGCCTGTGTGTGACGCTGACCTGCCAGTCTTGCCTGGGAGCCTGTCCTCTGGCCTGGTGAGTGGGAAACGATGGGGGTGTTCTGAGGGCCCCTTGGGGAGAGGCCTGAGAGCAAGCAGAACATGGGTTATGTTGTTGTGGTGTGTGGCCACCTGGTGACAAATGATTAGGGGTTGAAGGAATTTAAGGAGAGGCCTTTACCTAGTGGAGGGAGTTGAATTTGGGTTGGGATTGGGGTGTCTGTTGTGGGAGGATTGGTTTTCCTGCGGTGGTGAGCCAGGAAAACTGCTCCTGCCTGTGTGAGTCCGACATTTCTTCAGCCTGCTAGCTTTTAGCTGACCACCTAGCAGGAAAGATAACAGCAATCGTAAAGCTTTAACAGGGTCGCAGATCCCCTTGTGAATTTAATGCAAACTACAGTGTATAAATCTTTCCGCACTGAACTCCAATACTGAAAGCAGAGAAGTGGAAATGCAGAGTTGGTGAGAGTTGGAGAGGACAGCGAGTAGGGGCAAATCCCACGCCCCAGGAAGACCCAGTGAGGGAAGAATAGCAACAAGTCGCGACCCGGGGAAGGAACCGAGGATAAAGGCAGAGCCTTTCAGCTCTGGGTGTGGGGCTGGCGCAGACGCCCGGGATCCACAAAGGGAATTCTCTTCGCCGCCCTCGCGGTGCAGCCCAGAGCCTGGAACGCACTCCAGCCGCAACAGGTGTGTTTACTGAGAAGCATCGAACGCACGGAGCTGGAAGGGGTAACCGAACGGTCCACAGCGCAGGACCGAGGGCCGAC